TCCGCACTCCATGCCCCGAAACTACACCTTCTTCAGGGCGAAGTCGCTCTTCGACAGCTTCACGTGGAACTTGTTTTTCCGCAGGATCTCGAACACCTTCCCTAGATGCTCCACGTGCTCCTTCATGTTCTTGGAGTAGATAAGAATGTCGTCCAGGTACACCACCACGCACTCGTCCAACAGGGGCGTATGATGTGACTCATCTCCGCCTGAAACGTTGCTGGTGCGTTGCAGAGTCCGAACGGCGATAACCAAGTATTCATAGGAGCCGTATCTCGTATGGAACTCCGTATTGTGGATCGAGTTGTCCGCCATCTTGATCTGCCAGTAACCGACCGTAGGTCCAGCTTCAAAAAGACTGTTGCACCACGCAGTTGGTTGAGTAGGTCGTCTATGCGCGGTATGGGGTATTTGTTTGAAGTGTCTGTTCGTTCAGTGCGCGGTAGTCGATGCACATCCATAGACTGCCGTCTGGTTTTGGAGTAAAGAGAACTGGTGCACCCGTAGGGAGAGGTGGATGGGTGGATCAGTTGTCTGTCCAGTAGATATTCGATCTGTTTCTTCATGTCTGTCAGTTCGGTCGGACTCAGTCGGTATGGTGCACGTGAGACGGGTTTTGCACCTGGTTCCTCCACGATCTCGTGCTCGTGGGTGCGTGCAGGGGGTACGCCTGCAGGTAGGTCGTCGGGCATTATATCCTTGTACTGCTCCAAGACCTCCTTCACTGCTGCAGGTAGTTCTTCGTTCGGCTTCTCCTCCTCTGCTGCTGCCATAACCAGTGCTAGGTATCCCGTGTTATTCTCGTTCACCGTCTGTTCAAATCGTGCCAGTGTCGTTTCAGGAACGTCCCCTGTATCCGTCCAGCTTCGTAGTGCTATCCGCTTCGCGTTGTTGTAGATGCACACCTTCCTGTTGACCCAGTCGATCTCGGGGTTGAAACCGCTTCAAGAAATCTCGCCCCAAGATGAACTCTAACCCTTTGATGTTCATGATCGGCTACGTCGGCTTCCACCTTAGTGCCCCTATGTGCATCTGCAGTGATGCTTTGCCGTGGATGGGAAGTTTTGGGTACCGTCCACACATCGTTGCCGAGAACTTGGTACTCCTCGGAAGGTTCCCCAATTTTCTCCAACGTCCCGCGGTCACACCACCGAGTGAGATTGCACCGCTGTCCACCAGTGCCTGGATGGTGTCGTCCTTTGCATAACACCTGGACGAGTAGTGGTGCCTGCTGCGCTGAGTAGCCAAAGAGGGTCTCATTGATAGGATCATAGGGTACATCAAAGTGAATACCATCCCTATTTCCTATACCTGACTCAGCACTTTTCTCTTCCAACTTCACACTGGGTGGTAGGAGGATTTTTCCGAGGCTTGTACAGCTTCTCAGGAGCCTGAAATTTTTCCTCTAAGCCTTGGCAGCTGTGTAGGCTTCACCTGTGGGCTAAGGGAAGCCTTAACACTGTGCTGCGGGAGAGAATATTATTTCCCACGGAACGCACGACCCTTTTCTACGCTCCGTAGTAATTTGCCCAACTTCTCAGGTACCTGAATAATTTCTAAAGGCTTTTTCTTGGCCTCTAAATCTCCCCTGAATTTTTTCAAAGGCTTGAAAACCACGAGAAGCAATATTTTCCGTTAAGAGTATCTTTATAGGATACTTTTAACGAATTCTTACTTTCGTGGGTGCTCAGCTGGAGTTTCCTGGTCGGTGGAGAGTCTTTCTTCGCGGAGCCTCCATTTGCCTTGGCGATTTCCCCTGATGTCGGCCGGTCGTGACGTTTTATATTCGCGCCATCAGTTTCTCCTTTTTTCACCCGCTCCGAAGTCGCCACGTCGTCGCCTTGTCCTGCTTTTCGGATCTTTACGCGATCGCCAGGACGATCCGCGACTACTGGCGATTCCCAGTTTTTTTACTTCGGGGGTGCTCCACTCTTACCGTCCCGGAGTGCTGAACGTGCTTTCTTCATTTTGTAGCACGACAAAAACTGATGCCGTGCTGCGCCGCAAAAACTCGCATTTTGTCGGCTGCTGCTTCGCGTCGTATTTGTCGATATCCATCGGTTCGGCGAACGTGGGGGGTGCCGATCGCTCCGTGCCGAATGTACGGTTCGGCGTGAAGCGTCGTGTTTCGGATTGACCTCGAGTCAATCAGTCGTACCGCTCCGGCAGCACGCACGATGTCGTGGTTACAGTTGCAATTCACTGCGATGGCCTCTTGGCGAAACTCCAATTTTAACCCTTCTGTGTACGCCTGGATTTTTTCGCCTTCGGTCAGGTCGGTGATGCGATTGAACAGGAGCTCCATCTGCTGCGTGTACTGTGCTACACTACTGTATTGCTTGTGATGGTGTATCTGCTGCCGCGCCATGTAGGTCGTTTTAATGGGTTCGAAACGCTCGATTAAGTCTGCCCGAAACTGCTGCCACGTTTTCCTCCCAGCGGGCTACGTCAGTGTAATAAATCCATTCGAGTGCCAGTCCACTTAACAATGTCGCTGCGAGCCGAATTCTTGTTGCGTCGTGTTGCGGGGTCGAACAGCCAATGGCCTGGAAGTAAATTTCGAGGGTTGCCACGAATCGCCGGACGTCAATTCCTTCGCGCTGGGATCGAACGCTTCAGGGAGCCTCGGTCGTGCTGCTTCGAGGTTCGCGACAGTGGTGCCATCAGTCCGTGAAATGTCGGTGTCGCCACTACTGCAGGTGCTGTCGCTGCTACGTTCGCTGCTGCTGCTACGTTCGCTGCTGCTGCAGTGGCGATTCCTGGTTGGTGTGTCAGAAGGGTCTCGAGTCGCCGTAGCGCCGCCTGCGTCTGCTCCATGTCGGTGCGGAGGCTCGCGATGTCGCTCGTGGTCGCGTAGTTGTCGCCTTGGCCCTCCATTCCTGGCATTACGCGTCTGAAAAACCCGAAACGAGGGGGAGCAAAAAACACGGAACCAGTTTTACGTACCCGAAATCGATGTTTAACTGCGTCGCCCCCGCGTTTTTGAAGACTCGGTTTTAGCGGTCGAAAAACTTTCGCGTGTAATACGGGCTGTGATTACCACAGTGTTAGGATCTAGGATCGAGCTTAGAAAAGAGAAAGTGAATTGAATGATCACTTGGGTATAACACGGGGCTATATATAGGCTCGACACAAGGCCCAGTAACCAGGTGTTACGCGAAGGTTCCGCGGGTCGCGAAGCGTCCCGAACAGATCCTTCCCGAATTCAGTAGAAGGCAATTCGGTGGCAACCGAAAAGCCAGAATTCGGTGCACGCAACCTAGCTCGGTGCTATAACTATAATAAAATATAGGAAAGCACCTAGCCTAGGAAATTAAGCAATTCATGCAAGCATATAAATTATCCTATGCTAGAAATAGCATGATAAAGTAAAGGCAGGCAAGCATTGTCAGAGGTCCACTGGTGATCCCCGATTGATCCTAGGGAAGGGTTACAGGCTTGTTGTCCTGGGGGGTTATGGGCGCACTGACCCGCTACTTAACAAGCCCTTTTATCCCAATGGTCTAGTGGTTGGGATTCTGACATGGTATCAGAGCAAAGGTCACGGGGTTCGAATCCTAGTGTGTGCACTTCGGGCATCCCAGTGTGGGGGGGTGTTAGAGGTCCACTGGTGATCCCCGATTGATCCTAGGGAAGGGTTACAGGCTCGTTGTCCTGGGGGGTTATGGGCGCACTGACCCGCTACTTAACAAGCCATTTTATCCCAATGGTCTAGTGGTTTGGATTCTGACAAGCATAGCTGGCATAAGCCGTCGTACTCTCACAAGAGCCCAGGCTGAAGCAAGTACCCCTGAGTAGACCTGTGAGTCTCGGCTCCCAATGGGAGGCGCAGGGGCGGCAGGGGCAAGGGGGGCTGGGGTGGAGGAGGCGGCGGCGGGGGAGGTGGTGGTGGAGGGGGTGGAGGGGGGCGGCGGCGGTGGCGGCAGTGGTGGGAGTGGTGCTGGTGGTGCGGGGGGCAGTGGCGGAGCAGGGGGTGCTGGAGGTGGCGGTAGTGGAGGCGGAGGTGGGGGTGGTGGCAGTGGTGGCGGTGGTGGAGGTGGTGGAGGGAGCGGTGGAGCGGTGCAGCGTGGCGGGTTTGGCAGCGGCCATAGGCAGCAGCAGCAGCGTCCCAGCGAGCCCCCGTCACCCCAGCAGCTCCGTGAGTGGTACTCTCAACGTGGGGGGTTTGGGGGTGGAGGTACCTGCCCGTACGTCATGCGCACAGGTGACCGCACTGGCCAGACTTGTGGGAAGTTTCACACGGCGCAATGCTGTTTCTTTCGCCTCGACGACGCCTGGCGCGAGCAGTTCCCTGACGCCTCTGAGCTGCCCCGCTGGGCTGATCTGCTTCGGAAGGGGATTGATATCTTTGCTCTTGATTTGATGCTATCATTGCTGCTATGTATGCATTGACTATTAGTGTTGAGGGTGACTGTTACCTGAGTGTACCGCCCGACCCAGGTATTGGGAGCAGTCAGACTGCGGCTCTACGTGCTAGCGCATCTGCTGCTCTAGGACCTGGTGAGGCTGCTGCCCTAGGTGCTAGTGCGTCTACGTCTGCTGGTACCGCACCTACTGAGGCACTGCACACCTTCACACTGGACTCAGGTGCTTCCCACTGTTTCTTCCACGACCGCACTGCCCTAGAGAAGCTCCCTAGACCGGTTGCTGTCTCCCTGGCTGACCCCCTCAGGGGGTCCGGTCCTTGCGACCTCCACCACTGCCCTCCCTTGTCCTGCTGTCCCGTCTGGCACGCTGTCGGGCCTCTACCTCCCCTCGTTCTCTACGAACTTGGTGGCGGGTTACGCGCTCCAGGACGCGGGTGTTCACTAGTTCACCCCGGCCTACGAGCGTGTGACGCACTGCACGTGTGCCCGGACGGGTCGTTACCTGGCTACCTTCACTCAGCAGCCGGGGTCGGACTTGTACACACTGATCACTGAGTCCCCTCAGGTAGCTGCGTCTGCGTCTGCGTCAGGTCAGCTGTCGACCCCCTGCTCGTGTTGCTCCCTGTTGCACAGGACTGTCCTCTGGCACCACTGCCTTGGTCACTCGTCAGTGCAGCGCCTTTGCGGCATCCACTCCATGTACCTTGTCTCTGGTCTTCCCAGAGTTCTCCCTCGCCTGCCACACTCGCCTGCTCCTCCCTGTCTTCCCTGTGTCGAGGGGCGGCAGCGCGCCGCTCCTCACTCCTCCTCGTTCCCTCCCACAGAGGCTCCCCTGCAGACTCTCCACTTGGACGTGTGGGGCCCCGCCTGCGTCCGGGGACAAGGCCATGAGCGGTACTTTCTGCTGGTCATCGACGACTACACGCGCTACACCACGGTCTTCCCCTTGCGCAACCAAGGGTGAGGTCCTTGATGTCTTGATCCCCTGGATCCATGCTGCTCGTCTCCAGCTCCGCCAGTGGTTCCAGTCGGACTTTCCTGTAATACGTCTGCACTCTGACAGAGGTGGCGAGTTTTCCTCTAACCTCTTGGCAGCCTACTGTGCGGAGCACGGCATCCGCCAAACGTTCACTCTCCCCGGCCTCTCCGCAGTAGAATGGGGTTGCTGAGCGCCGCATTGGTCTTGTCATGGAGGTTGCTCGTACCTCCATGATCCATGCGGCTGCCCCCCATTTCCTGTGGCCGTTTGCAGTGCAGTACGCCGCGCAACAGCTCAACCTCTGGCCCCGTGTCTCTGTTCCGGAGACCTCGCCTACCCTGCGTTGGACGGGGGAGGTTGGCAACGCGTCGGTGTTCCGAGTCTGGGGATGTCGAGCCTTTGTCCACGATACGTCCGCGGACAAGCTCTCCTCTCGTGCAGTTCCCTGTGTCTTCCTTGGCTTTGTCCCTGACGCGCCTGGCTGGCAGTTTTACCACCCCACCTCGCGCCGTGTCTTCGCCTCTCAGGATGTCACCTTTGACGAGTCGGTACCCTTTTACCATCTCTTCCCCTACCGCACTGCCCCCTCCCCCCCCCCCCCCCCCGCCACTCTTCCTCACCCCAGGTGTCCCGTCGGAAGACCCCCTCCCTCCCCAGGGTGCTGCTCCCTCAGGTGTTTCCCAGGTAGACCCGGTCGAGCCTGTCGAGGTAGCTGTTGACTCTGGTCCTGCGCGAGGTGCTGAGCGTGCTGAGCCTGGTGGTGCTGGGTCTGGGGGCACTGAGACTGGGGGTGCTGAGCCCGGGGGGTGCAGAGACTGAGGGTGCTGAGCCTGGGGGTGCGGAGACTAGGGGTGCTGAGTCTGGGGGTGCGGAGCCTTTGGGTGCTGAGCCTGGAGGTGCTGCGACTGGGGGTGCTGAGCCTGGGGGTGCTGAGATTGGGGGTGCTGAGACTGGGGGTGCTGAGCCTGGTGGCGCTCCCTCTTCACAGCAGCTGTGTGAGTGGTACTTCCAGTGCTACAGCCTCCGTCGTGGGGCTACTGGAGCTAGGGGGTCTGCTGGAGTCGGGGGTGGTGGCACCGCAGGTGCAGTGTTGCAGCCAGAGCCTCCCTCCCCTCAGCGGCTACGTGAGTGGTACGCTCGGCGCTGCAGCCTCAGGAGTGGAGCTCCTGGTGTTGAGGTAACGCCAGTTGGAGGTCCTGCTGGTGCTGGTGCTGCTGGAGGTGCTGCTGGTCCTGCTGGAGGTCCTGGAGCTACTGGAGGTGCTGCTGGTGCTGCTGGAGGTCCTGGAGCGGCTGGAGGTGCTGCTGGTGCTGCTGGAGGTTCTGGAGCTGCACGAGGTGCTGCCGGGGCTGCTGGAGGTTCTCGAGCTGCCGGAGGTGCTGCTGGTGCTGGTTTCGGCTGGAGGTTGTGGTGCTATCTCTGCTGCTTCTGGGGGCACTTCACGGCCGCGGCCGTACTTTGTTCCGCTCCTTCAGCAGGTTCTTGGTCAGCCGCCTCCTCCTAGTCCTCCTCCCTCCTTAGGGTATCCTCCGCTTGTCCAGTCGCAGTCCCAGCTCCTGCCTGCCTCGCCACTTCCTGGTCCTTCTCCCTACACTGGTCCGACAGGCGGTCTTACAGAGCGTCGTGAGCCTGAATCTCGTCCTGTGTCGCCTGTGTCTCGTCCTGTGTCACCTGTTCGTGCTGCTTGCACTGGTCGCCGTGGTCCGCGTGAGCGTGTTGAAATGTATTTAGTGTATACTTTCATATAAATGCCTACAGTAGCCTAGTGTAGTTATCTTAGTTTCCTGCTAGGTGGTGTACCATTTGCCTTTCTTCATTCTTGCCTATTTGTACCCTTGAACCTATAGTGAAACCCCTCATTCTCTCGATACTTTTTACTTCAACTCTCGAACTCAATCACCAAGGCTCCTAAGCCTAACTCTTCCTAATTACTTTGACAGAGCGTCCTCCACCTGTGTCTGGCACACACTTTATGACACTACGTCCTTCCACTGCCCACCAGCCTGTCCCTCTACCGTCTCCTCTTGCGTCCTTTCTTCCTGTCCTTACTGACCCAGAGTCTGACTCTCTTCGTGCTGCCAGTCCTACTGTCACGCGTCTCCTAGCCACTACTGTCACTGACCCTTCCTTTGAGTCTGCTGCTGCATCTGCCCTAGTTGCTGAGCTTGTCGACTTTGCTGCTCGCTGTCGTCTAGACTACGCTGCGAGTCTTGTTGCTGGGTGTGAGTCTGTCTGTCCTCCGTCCATGGAGGGTGAGTGTGCTCTAGGCACAGACGTCCTTGAGGACAGGCAGGAGGACCTTGAGTGTCTTGCAGCCGCTGCGCCTCATCTCGTTTCCATGCTGATTGCCCCTCACGGAGACCCGGATGCTCCAGACATCCCGACCCTGCGCTCTTACGCAGAGGCGATTGAGGTTCCCTACTCCTCTCAGTGGCAGTCAGCCATGGACGCAGAGATGGCATCCTGGAAGTCCACTGGCACTTACGTCGACGGGGTTCTCCGCCTATCTTCAAGACCCGTTACGTTGCTCGAGGCTTCAGTCAGTGAGAGGGAGTAGACTTCTTTCAGACCTTCTCCCCCACCTCGAAGATGACCACTCTTCGGGTGCTACTGCACGTTGCTGCTCAGCGTCACTACGAGCTTCACTCTCTTGACTTCAGTACAGCTTTCTTGCAGGGCAGCCTACACGAAGAGATCTGGCTGCGCCGCCCTCCTGGCTTCACTGGGTCGTTTCCTCCTGGTACCCAGTGGAGCCTCCGGCGGCCGGTCTACGGTCTCCGCCAGGCGCCACGTGAGTGGCACGACACACTGAGGACTACTCTTGCGGCACTTGGGTCCGCGCCCTCTTCTGCTGACACGTCGCTGTTTCTACGCACCGACATTGCGCTGCCGCCGTTCTACATCCTCGTGTACGTCGACAACTTGGTCTTTGCCACTGCTGACACTGAGGCTCTCGCCCACGTGAATTCGGAGCTGCAGAAGAGACACACGTGCACAGACCTGGGTGAACTGCGCAGCTACCTTGGCTTGCAGATCACCCGGGACAGAGCACGCCGCACCATCACACTGTCCCAGTCACACATGGTGCAGCAGGTCCTTCAACACTTCGGCTTCACCTGGTCCTCAGCACAGGCCACTCCTCTGGCTATAGGTCACTCGTTCTCAGCTCTGCCTTCGGATGAGTCCGTAGAGCCGAGTGGTCCTTACCCAGAGCTAGTTGGTTGCCTCATGTACCTGATGACTTGCACTCGTCCTGACCTAGCATACCCTCTTGGCCTTCTGGCCCGCTACGTGGCTCCTGGCAGGCACCGAAAGGTGCACTGGGATGCTGCAAAGAGGGTATTGCGCTACTTGTGCAGTACATCGGGCATGGGGCTCGTGCTTGGAGGAGGGAGCTCAGTTGTTCTCACTGGGCACTCAGACGCTTCTTGGGTTGACAACCAGGCTACTCAGTGGTCGTCACAGGGTTACACCTTCAGCCTTGGCTCTGGTTCAGTTTCTTGGCGTTCTACTCACTCGTCTTCTGTTCTCAGCTCCAGTTGTGAGGCTGAGATCTACGCCACAGCCATGGCTGCACAGGAGCTACGCTGGCTCACCTACCTGCTGACCGACTTGGGAGAGCGGCCTAATTCTCCTCGAGTGCTGTACGTCGACAACAAGGCTGCCATTGCCTTGTGTGAGGAGCACAGACTGGAGCACAGAACGAAGCACATCGCTCTCCGTTACTTTCTGGCTCGAGAGCTGCAGCAGCGCGGTCAGCTTCGTCTGCGTTACGTGGCCACTCGGGCCAACACCGCTGATGTATTCACCAAGGCACTTCAGCCTGGTGATCATCAGCGCTTCTGCACTATGCTGGGGCTGGTGCCCACTTTTCCTCACTTGGTGTAGGCTTTGCCTGTACTGTGATCTCTATATATGTATACCTACCTGTTTGCTTTGCTAGGTTGAGATCACCTTGCTGTTTGTGTTGCATATATGCCTCTGCATGTGAACTGGCCCTGTGGCCCTTTGCTTGTGCTCACAGTGTGTGGTGATGTTGTGATCCACCCTGAGCTTGTTTGCCCTTCTTGACTGGTCTTGTGAACCCTTGCTCTCCCCCACTTTGCCTATGGGGGTGTGTCAAACATTATATATGTGTTATTGCTGTGTAGGCTATAGTGGGTTAGCCTTTAGGGGGTACACAACTCTAGGTTTTCATACGTGTACTCCAATGTTTCATAGTTCATCACTTCTTGTTTCTTACAGCTAGGTACTTCGCCACCCTCATAGCAGCTATCCAGTGAATAGGATGGTGTCTATCTGGCGCAAAAAAGCGAGCAAGGATGCTACGAGGGAAGGCGAGGTCTGGGCGAGTACAAGTCATCAGGTACATGAGGCAACCCACAAGCTCTGCATAAGGACCACTAGGCTCAAACGGCTCGTCAGGAAAGGGACCAGTGAGTCACTGGTCAACGGCAAGAGGTGTGCACTGTACTGTGGAGTGCTGAAGCTCGAACCGCTGAAGGACGTGCTACACCATATGTGACTGTGAGAGTGTAATGGTGCAACCGGCTCTCTCCTTGGTGATCTGCTGGCCTAGGTAGTGGCGCAGCTCACCAAGGTAAGTGCACGTATGTCTCTTCTGCAGTTTCGACTTCACGTTAGCTAAAGCAGCCCTATCAGCAATGGCGAAATCTAGGTCATCTACGTAGACCAGTACAAAGAACTGTGTAGAGCCACGACGAACGAACAGCAACGGGTCTGCAGAAGACGGCTGGAAACCGAGGTCAAACAGGGTAGAGCGAAGGGTGACATGCCACTCACGAGGCGCTTGACGCAGACCATAGACCGGTTGCCTCAGCCTCCACTGGGTCCCAGGAGGGAAAGTGCCAGTGAAGGCAGAGGGACGACGCAACCACACCTCCTTGTGTAAGCTACCCTGATGGAAGGCAATAGAGAAGTCGAGGGAGTGTAGCTCGTAGTCTCTCTGTGCTGCTACGTGCAGTAGCACCCGAAGAGTGGTCATCTTCGGGGTAGGCGCGAAGGTCTGAAAGACGTCAACTCCCTTGCACTGACTGAAACCTCTGGCCACGTAGCGCGCCTTGAAGACTGGAGGAGATCCTGGTGGCCGCTTCACCCTAAAGATCCACATGCCATCGACTACGTTCGCCCCAGGGGGGGGAACCTCATCGACGTAGGTGCCTGTGGATCTGTAGGAGGCCATCTCTGCGCCCATGGCAGCTCTCCACTGAGAGGCTCAAGGCCCTGACACTGCCTCAGCGTAAGTGCAAGGAGTCGGTATGTCGAGGGCATCGGGGTCTCCCTCAGGGGCGAGAAGCATGGCACAGAGATGAGGGGAAGCAGCTGCCAGGAACTCCAGCTCAAACTGCATGTCCTCTAGGGCGTCACATCCAAGGGCAGACTCACCCCCGACGGCCAGAGGATTGGTAGGAGGAGGAGCCTGGAGACAAGTGGCGTAGTCAAGGCGGCGAGTTGCAGCGAACTCAGTGACGGCGGCAGTAAGGGCGGAGACAGAGGACAGAGAGGCGCGAGGGTTTGTAACATGAGAGGTGAGAATACGAGAGAGAACAAGACGGTACGTGCGGTAGTCAGTGACAGGAGTAGAGAGGGAAGCAGTGAGGGTCGACTCAGGAGGAGAAGGAAGCACAGACGGAGATGAACGAGGCGGACTAGGATGAAACAGGACTGTATGAAGTTAGTGATAGGGGCAGGGGACGAGGGACAAGCACGAGGAGAACGAGAAGCCCAAGTGTGAGAAAGAGGAGGGGAAAAGGGAGGTTGAGAACGAGGTAAAACAGCTGGGGTGGAGTCAAGAGGAG